CTATTGGGTTAAATATACATATAATGTGACACTTATTGTAACAGGAGTACTTCACCCCCATAACCCATTCTCCCACACAAAAGCTGTATGTGTCTATTCTTAATTCTTAGCTCAGTTAGCTGGCAGGAGAGCAATTGTTCCATTAATTGGAAATATGCAACAGGAGGATGCTAAATTAATTACAGGAAATTCATATATGATGTAGAATGCGCCCTTAAAACTTACATAGTATTCATTAGGCCGTCATGGGCCATAAATCAATCAGTTAGAGATTCTGCATTTTATGGGTTTGTTCTTGAGCAGGATTATTATAGTGGGCTCATGTCATTTAACGACCTCTATGTAAATAAAATAACTCACCGCTTTTCCTCATTTTGAAACGCCTGTCAACTAAATCTCCACTTTGCAGTTCACATTTGACGTCAAAACATGCATAAACTAAAATGATAAATATGGACTCCATGTATGTAAGTATGTTAATTACTTCCAATTGGGTCGGTAGTCTACAAATTAAATCAACTTTTCTGATGAGTGTGAAATGAAGTTCCAAAAACCTAAACCACCAAATATACATTGTTTTAATTAAGGTAAGAAAGCGAATTATTCAACAGTATTGCTGGAATATATACATGCAGTATACATGATCTAGACTGGAACAGACTGTGCCAATGTAGATAGTGATATGATAATAACGCCTGAAAACTAGCTGCGAATTGAGAAAGACTCGACTAGCTATACCTGTGAAATATAAGTATAAAATCTCGGCGTTCCGAACGAAGGCGCTTCGTCGTAATGTAAGTAGCATGGATTAGGAAAATACAATGCGCTAGTGAGTATTTTATATTGCTATTATCTGCCACTATTTGTTGAATGACTGTTCTTCCTTGTTTCTGCATGGGCTCTGCTTTTATTTTGTTAATTGCACTGAAATGTAATTTTAAAAATAATTGAACTGCTTTAGTCAATCAGGACTGCACTGTAAATTTTAAGGAGTTGGATCAACTCCAAAAGTGTTATTCTGTCACCAAAAACAGTGACAGAATTACTCTTCTGGACTTGATTCAACTCTTTGAAATTTACAGTGTGGTTAATTGTTTAATTTAATGTGAATTATTATGTAGTTAACAGAAGTTGGGTTACAAAATTACACGTTTGTTCAATATAGTTGAACTCAACTTACTAAACTTTGTACATTTCTACAGGTAATTATATGAATGTGCTTCAACTATACAACATACAATAGCACAAAAGGTATTTGGCTGTGACAATAACTGTCATTTAAGGTAATTCCGCAGTAATTGTTCCCAAAATGAGAATGTGCTGAAACTTCCGAGGCATGGAGTTTATGATATACTTAAAGTAAAATGACACAAAAAAATCGGAGTCGCCGAACTCGTTAAGAAGATATGACAATCACTATATACCACCTTTACCCCCAATATGGCGCTATCTTGACGCTCATTACGAGTAACAGCAAAATCACAACAGCCTGATATTTATTGTCGTTTTTAGCGTGGATTTTGCTTTAGTAATCCTATCTTGTAATTATTTTTGAAAAAATATTGTGTTTTGAGAAAATGAAACTAACTAACGTGTATAATTCTGATCCACAAATGTCTTTTCCACATTTCTTTACATATCTTTCTTTGAGAACATGCATTGATAAAGGATTTGTTTTCAAGATCCAGAAATGATTTTTCTTTTAATTTCGGATATGACATGTGAAATGCATTAAAGAAATAAATTAACAGTTAAAAAACGGGGGTCACCGATCTTTTTAGGGAATTGTGGCATTAAAACATGAAATACAAGTAAATAAATATACTACAGACACAGGAACCCTAGTTACACTTTTGTATGCCTTTTTGGAAACGTTGATTTTAACGTAATTCTTTGCACGAATGTAACCAAAGATGTTTTGAAGTAAACATAAAATTGTCATAAAACGATTTTTTAAACGGTACGTACAATGGATGAAATTATAAGTTACTTATAGGATGTGCGCAGTAAAAGTGCGCAATGCAAAACTGCGGAATTACCTTAAAAACGCCTAAATTAAAAAGCGCACAGTCACATAGGGTAGGGTGTACGTACAATTTTCCGATAGCCCACAAAAATGATATGAAATATATTCTGAGGTATTCGTGTAACCATGGGCAGAGATAGTCGTTCTTTCAGTCCTTTCAATGGGGTGTGGTATTCAACTCAAATAGTGAGCTCCTATAATAATAATAGAGAGTTTGCGATTCACGACGCAGCGCCGGCAGCCAGCTTGACGACGCGCTTCCGAAACAAAGAAATACGTCATGCGACAGAAAAGGGAGGAATAATTTGCCGTCTCAAAGGTTTCGTCAACACCGTGGTCCCATTCTTGGGATACCGTCAAACGAGTAATTTTCACGTCTTACGCTAGGACGATATAAAGCTCGTTGCGACATGGAAGCTGTTTTACAACGTTGACAGAATGCTGGGCAACGCCAGCTAAACATTGGAGTAGTTTGGGCCAATTTAAACATTTGTAAGATTATTAAAACATGCTTTAGACATTCAAGTATATAGTGCTAAATTCCTGTGGCTTATTTCAAGCATAAATTGACTCGACATCGTCGAGCTGACCACGTCGTGGATCGTTAACTCCCTAAATATCTTTTTGAGTCCAAAAAGTAAAGCCAAGAATAACGGAAATTGAAGGGCTATTGGACGTCAGTTCCAGTCCTTTTCTATTGTTTTTGTCTGCGCGGTTAATACGAGGCTGCCATGCAATGAGTTAGTGCACCGAACTTTCGGTATTTTCACATCGATTTAAAGAATAACATTATGGTATCATGAACTGATAACTTGTTTAGCAATATGGTCTGTTAGAAAAAACTAGTATATTTGGGTTTCATATTGTTTTTGCCGGCCAAAACAAGAGCAACAAATCGACTCCAAAACGGGGAGAGGGGAGTCCGGCCAGCGGACGTAATTTATTATAGATTATCTTTTGACCGTCCAAAATAGAATAGGACGCGCGTCCCCTTCCCCAAGACTGACGTCCTTGCATGGGTAAAAGAGAATTTTTAAGTTCGCGTTGAATTTAATTTATCACGAATTTAGCTAGTTTATCACGAATTATTAATGACCTTTAAAACTATCTATATCTCGCAAACTTAAGCTCATATATATTGATGAGCCGGACCAGGAATGAAAAATATGATATACTTATCAATGCGCTCTTTTAATCCGATATGAATCTCGTTTATTATAAGAAAATTGAGGTTGAAATTATCAAAATGTTAACTCAAGAATATTAAGAATAATGTCCTCCGTCGTAACAATAGAAACTATAAAGGTTGTCAATTATATTTGTATCTATCAGTTATGTCAATATATTGTGACGTATTGGGCAAATATAATATTTTTAAAGACAATGTCAATGCTTGCAGTCTCCGCAAACAATTTTTCAAAGTTTTATTGTCATAGTCGATTTGCCAGCGTCTTCCAAATTAATTTATCAAAACTACAAACATAAGGAAATCGGAATTATCATAACAAAAAAAGTCCGTTTCATGTTCATCCGGAAATTGTCTGCAAAAAATGGAAGATTTTCTAATCGCAAGTTGTAAATTTTGTCAAGTCAACGCCAGTGTTCACGTTCACATACAATATATATATTGGACAATCAGACCAAAGCACGAAAATTGTTCCATCTGAAGGAGAGATATTTTTAAATTTCCATAGTCGGCAAAACAAATTAATTTGAGCGTCAATATGATAGGATCGATACAAATTAAAAACGTTCGATGACAGGTGATCATTCTTTCGAACGTACCTAATGACATGAGCAAATATAGCCGCCCGCCTATAATACTTCCAACTGAAACTAATTTTCAACTTTTCTCAAACTTTGGCCAGGATAACCGTATTTTTTATAAAGCATTTCGTACTTGGAAAATTGAAATATAAATCAGACCCAACTTGCCGCACACGAAAGGTTTGGACAACCTATATATAGTATATATCGCTGAAATGGGATTGATTTCCATTAATACTTCAATTAATCTGAATGTCAATTAACAAAGATTTTTCATATATATGCATGCTAACCTTGGCATGCAATCGCATAAATACATTGTCATGCTTTTGATAAGAGCATCCGTGCTTGCATTAATCAATAATGTATTTCGAAATCTGAAAGTGATATATTCACGACAGGTTGATAGCATATCAGGCTCACTTGGACATGCATGTACAGATGCAAAGTCTGTATGCGAAATTTGAATTTGGAAGCCGGGACGGTGAGTATTCAATCTTACTGAAGTCTTTTCAAATAGAGTCAAATCTACATTTAAGCCATTAAGGTACGTTTTGTAACAATATTTTTCCCCATTACAAACTGTATTCAGTGAGGTCATTGCGGCATATTTAGTGCTCTTGGTCATTCGAGTTTACATGGCTAAGTTAGTGCTAAGAATCGCATGAGAATGCAATTCCAACAGGCTGTCATTCATTTTATTTCATATACTTTAAAACCACAGTAGTGAGCGTATAAATTTGTCTGATATTAAACCTGCATGCTTGCCGTGAACAAAGAATAAAACTTCAAACACTTTCTGGGACGTTTCAAGGGAAGAGCTGATTCATCGAATGACTCAGACAGACCATATGAAATAGCTATATAAAAAGATCTTTCTCATCCAACTAATTCTTTACTGATGAAGGGACTTTGTCATTGAGATCGAGGGTTTTTAAATTATTAATCTGTTCAGTTTATCTGCGGTCTAATACTAACATTTACTGCCAGTAACGTATTACGATTGAGGCAGAAGTACCATGCACTGCTAGATCTAGTGCAGATCACAGATAAACATGCAACCATAATATAATTAGCCTACGTGTAGTTACGTTTGTATAGTAGTTAACGATTCAGGTTCAAACGAGCACGTATTTGGACTGATTTTTAGTTATATGGATGAGTTGTTCGGATAACTGGTTGCGTAGGCCATATACATGGGCATGTAGTAAAACATGGACTGGACTCATTAGTAAAACATGGACTGGACCCGATTGGTAAAACATGGACTCTATTAGTAAAACATGGACTCGATTAGTAAAACATGGACTCGATTAGTAAAACATGGACTCGATTAGTAAAACATGGACTCGATTAGTAAAACATGGACTCGATTAGTAAAACATGCCTAAATGTAGTTCCTTGTCTGTTTTTTTTGTAAATTGTAATTTTAATAACATCAACTTTAGTGTACAAGAGATCTCATCGATATTTAACGTAAAGTTTCAAGAAGCATCGGTCA